TTGTCAAGACCACGGAGGCCAAGTTGCCACTTTCCTAAATGGCAGATGATATCAATCAAGCATGTCATTATTTCCCTATGTAGTATCGACAGGCACTTTTGATTGTCAAGAGATTCGAGATTTCCCAAACATAACAAGTTGCATTGTTGAAATAATGTGAGTCTGAGAGTTCTCATGTCGTTTCAGTGCTTTATGAAGGTTGTTGATATCACCAAACCCAGTCTTGTTCCATACATTTTTTTCCTTGAGAAACAATAGGCATGGCCAACAAAACAATTTTCCTATATTATGGCAACCGGATAGCCACTCTGTTTTAGAATACTGTTCCAAATTAAATTTCCTCACATAATTTGGTTTGAGCTTTAAGTTCTGGCAACTCGCATGTCGTTCGTCCTCTTTCTATAATTATTTTCTTTTCAGAAAATGCTCTGCTATTAAACCCCCGTTTTAAAAGGCTTTCGATTGCACAGTCGCAGTCGCGTTGTCTGTCAGCATTCATTTTAGCTGTTGCCTGTGCGTGTAGTCTATTCACGCCCCTGCCCATCTTACCACAATATCAGATTTGCTTCCCTTAAACGTGGACAACTTCCTTCTGATGCGTCAAAATACGATCACAAATACAATCTTACGCCATATAAATATGCACTTAGAATATTTTAATAACACTTAATGTTACCTATAACACCCATCAAGACTGAAATCACACACAAACAGTTAATTTTCACATAACCATCGAAATAACACATTCCTTCACTGGCCTAGCCAGCAAACTGAAATTTGCTTCGCTTGGCTCCTTCGGATTGGACAAAGTATTACCAAGATTAACGAAACAAAACTTGGTCCATCCCACCAAGCAGGGTTAGGGAGAAAGAGGAGGCATGTGGCCTTAGCAGCAGCTAAATGACAATATTCAAATTGATTTATTTATATAACTTCCTTTCTTTTCGTTTCCTAACTACGGAGCAATGCTTCCCTTGCTTCCATGCACGGCACGCCACCGGTAAAGCTGTAAACTTAACTTGGTTCATCCTCGTCCATCACACTAGTAATGATATACAAGATTTTTAACCACCATCCAGTGTGATTGATAACGAGTTATGTTTTTAATTTTTCATCCTTTACATGTTTCAGTCAAAATGACCATCTTCAGAAGGATATAAACACGTAAGGAAACTACTATTACCATTCTAACCAATGCTAAGATGTACATTGATTTGTTAAAACATCTAAAAATTATTACAATAAGTCTGTTTACAAGTAATGTACAATATTTGTAATCTAGAACCAATCTGGTTTGTGTCATTACACTTCTTGTTAATGGAAGATGAGTATATTCTAGAGTGTGGTTTTGTTGTCTGATGATCAGTTATATTATGGATATCATGTAGTGTTTCTGTAATGCAGATTATATTCAAATATGACTACCTTTGGTATGGTGGTCCAGGTATGCAGGCTACGCTGTGTTATTATACTGCTCTAACATGTGTTGTGTTGCTTATTTGTACCCTTTGTGCCTCATGAAGTTTGTGTAGGTTTGTAGTTTCACCATGATGTCGAACATACAATTCTGATTATTATCGCTTTCCTCTGTATGTTTTTCCTCTTCTATTATTTTATTAGGTTTATTAAAATAATAAATGTGAAATTTTCTTATATTCATGAGATTCCCGTTTTTAGCATGCTTAACCATTTGCATAGTTTCTGTCATAGGTCCATACTGGTGGAGTTTATTTAGTATGTGTTTGGCGAAGGCCAAATCATCTTTGTTAAATCTTAACATTTCTTATGTGTTCTTTATATCTCATTGTTAGGTTTGTACCTATGTTGCCGATGTATACTTTGTGATAGCTTTGGCAAGTTATTTTGCATATCCCACTTTTTTCGTGAGTTCAATTAATTGCTTCTCATTTAGTAATTTACCTATGGTGGAAATTGTTTCAAAGGTTATCTTTAAGTTAGTGTCTTTGAAAAGTTTTCTGATTTTCAATATATAATTTCCTGTGTAGGTAAATGTAACCCATCTTTGTTCCTTTTTGGCCTTATCTTCCAAATTATTTTCCCATTGTTTGAGTTGTATATATTGTCACATGTAGGGTGGTACATGTGACAAAATGACAGGTTCCAGTTGTTTTAAAGGAGTGTTTACCACAATGTTGCATAGCAGTGGTGTCGGCACTGACCCCATGGAAAGCCAGTCACATGACAGTCATCTTGCCAGCCTATTCTATTGGTGTGTTGACTGTTGCCTAGCAACAAACAATAAACGTTCATCCCATTGTTGAGTGTGCTAGTGCAACTGAAGGTTGTTTATAGATCATTTCCTAGAAACGTTCTGGACATCATCACAATATGGAAGATGTATTCCTCCCTATATCCATTATTTAGTGCTACATTAATGATGGTGTTCAGTTCCTTCTTTTTGTTGTTTTCATTAAAGGGTAGTGTGAGAAGTCTGTCTATCCAGTTTTTGTATGTTGCTACTTTAGTAGAGTATGCTAAAAAGGGAATCTCATGAATATAAGAAAATATCACATTTATCACTTTAATAAACCTAATAAAATAATAGAAGAGGAAAGCAATAATAATCAGAATTGTATGTTCGACATCATGGTGAAACAACAGTACAAACCTACACAAACTTCATGAGGCATAAAGGGTACAAATATGCAACACAACACATGTTAGAGCAGTATAACAACATAGCATAGCCTGCATACCTGGACCACCATACCATAGGTAGTCATATTTGAATATAATCTGCATTACAGAAACACTACACGATATCCATAATATAACTGATCATCAGACAACAAAACCACACTCTAGAATATACTCATCTTCCATTGTAATGACACAAACCAGATTGTTTCTAGATTACAAATATTGTATATTACAGTGTAACCTCGCTTAACAAGCATAATTTGTTCCAGAGTCTTACTCGTAATGCGAAACACTCGTTAAGCGAAACAATTTTTCCCATATAAATTAATGTAAAATATGATAATGCATTCCATGCCAAAAAAATACTAAAAAAATTTTATGTATAACGTTTATTCAAAGAAAATTATATATACATTGTTAAGGAGCGTGAATCATCTTCGTCTTTTCTTCTATGCGGAATGAACCAACCTGGAATGCGACTTCGATTTGCAGGGAAAAAAAAATTGAAATAATTAGTTTATTATTTATGATATATATCTAATTCTTTTTTACTAGAAAGGTGTCTAGAGACATTTGTTTTTGCTGACGCTTCAAAATTTGGTGAAAATGCGACACATGTCCTATGCATAGGGCAGTCCAAACAAATATTCTGAAGTTTAGAATTCAATTTATAGCACTGACACAAAATGCGATCATTAAATAAATTTGTAGTGCGCATAGCTACTGCCTTAATAGGGTGATGCTTCTCAAATGCAACAGTTTCCCATGCTTTCAGCACTTCTCTTATTGCATCAGAAGATTGCTGCTTTGCTGTTACCTCCTCCTCTTCGTTGAGGATAGTGCAGATCGTTTATGTAGACCGATTGTATGTGCGTGCTAGATCAGCCATGCTCACACCTCGTTCTTGCTTTTCAATGATTTTACGTTTCATTTCTATGGTTATTTTTATTCTCTTATGACTGTCTTTTTGCGGGTTTTTCTTCGGGGACATTTTTGCAAGGGTTATTAAACTTTGCACAAAAAAATCACAAATAATATGTCTGAACACAAGTTTGGAAAAATGTGTCATCACATGCTAGTGGAACAAATGCTAAACACAGACTGATGTAGCATGTGCACAATCCGGGACTTCCCCTCTCATCACTCATTATGCGAAACATCGCCTGTTAAGCGAGTCATTTTTTTTTACAATTCTCCTTATGTGAATTACTTGTTATGAGGTGCTCGTTAAGCGAGGTTCCACTGTACTTGTCAACAGACTTATTGTAATAATTTTCAGATGTTTTAACAAATCAATGTACATCATAGCATTGGTTAGAAGATATATGACATGGCAATAGTAGTTTCCTTACATGCTGATATCCTTGTGAAGATGGTCACTTTGACTCAAACATGTAAAGGATGAAAAATTAAAACATATCTTCTAGACAGTTGGCTCACAGATGGTGGTAATAGTGTCAAGCCTTATGCCCCCCCCCCAGAAGATTCCTGATACTTATTTCTGTTAGAGTCTGAGTTGACCCGAGGGCCATAGTGCAGCTGGAAGGATTAGGTTAAATTTAAAAAATAGGTCAAGCCATAGCTCAGGTGGTCAGTCACTTGCTTCCCACCATGGTGGCCCAGGTCTGAGCCCCAGTCAGGTCATGTGGGATTTGTGGTGGTCAAATTGGCACTAGGGCAGGTTTTCTCAAGAGTATTTCTGTTTCCTCTGCCAATCTAAATTCCACCACCCTCCAGACTAAAAATAAAATTTAGAGCCTCGATCATATATCAAGGAGTGTTAACAACAGTCAAAAGAAATGCATAGGACAGTCCAAACAAATATTCTGAAGTTTAGAATTCAATTTATAGCACTGACACAAAATTTAATACAATTCTTCACAAATTTCTGTCAGGATCTGTACTGTGTCTTTATAGTAAATTCAATGATGTTAGGGTCTTGAGAAACTCATCATTACTTAGCATATTGCCTTTTATGGAACCTAAAAGTTCATCACCATGTTCACAACAGTCCACTATTAAGCACTATTCTCAGCCAGTTAAATTGAGTACACACACCCTCGTATGTCATTTCTTTAGGATCTGTTGTAACATATCTGTCCAAGATCTCACAAGAGTATTCTTACCTCAAGGTTTTTCAATTAATATTTTATATGCAAAGAGGAGCTCCATATTGCAGTGATGTCGCAAAACAGTCTATACAATCGGTATCCATTTAATTGTTAACAGATACTTAAAAAACATATTTTCATACTTCAAGTACTTTTGAAGACAGACAATTTTGTTTAATAAGGGTTCTTCTGGTGGTGCTTGAACTTCTGCTTCAAGTTCATCTGAAATACAGAGAAGAAATTTTTCATGAAGTCATTTTTATTACTGTTGGTATAGCAACCTATGCAGTCACATCTTTTGGAAGAGCTGAATCAATCGTCAACCTAAGAAATTCATCAGACATGCAAATAAATTAAAATGAGGATGGATGGAGGACTCTGGGAATACAAATGTAAAGAAAATGGTCTATTGCAGGAAGGCTGAATTTCACTGTCTCTGAGTAATTTGATTTCAGAATGACGATACAAAAGAAGTGATTAAAATATTATCACACGAATGAGTGAGTACACATGGGATTTTGATTGGTAATCATATTTATTGCATTCTTAAAACTCATTACCACTTATTCACACTCTACAATTAACTACAACACACACTAAGACTTCTCAGTCTGCTGTGTCTTTGCCGGTTGTCACCTGGTAACACTCCCAATGCTGCAGATTCCTCAGCTTCTGTGTTTCATGGCTCTGGTCCTTACTGGCTGGCACCTATCTCACAACTCGACTCAGCACTCCTACACAGCGGCTTACAACAATGGGGGCTCCTCCACCTTTGCCAGGGGGTGACTGTCTGCAACAACATCTGATGGGTCTGTCTCCCAACTGCTAACTGAAGTCTCAAGACTCTTGAACCACTTGTGAATACAAATCAATATCACATACAGACTAGTGTTCCCGGTCACCATCTTCACTGTGCTGCTGGGTAACATTTTCCAGCAGTGGACATTCCTCTGCTCCCAGACTCATGTCCTTGCAGGTTGGCAGCCATCTCACACAACTTCCTAATTTTCTAACTCCAGCCTCTCAAGACTGCTTCACCTGTCCCACTGATCCTCACAACGGACTCAACAGAGAACACTGCTTCTTGCAGTTGCTTAGTTGCAGTGTGACATGGCAGTTGTGGCAAATGCAACGAAAACACTGCTTCCAACGGTTCTTCTATTACTGCGTGTAAGCATGGCCACAGTTAAGTGATGTCTACTGAGCTACTGCCTAGGAATGGATGTATTTACAAAGCTGTTCCCAAGCAACAGCCTTTTCTGCTGGCTCCACAATTCCGGCTCTCAGCAGACATGTCACAATATTTTTTTAACCTTTCACAACAGTAATTTCTGGACTGTAAGAACCATGACATCAGGCCCCTGCTCCATTCCTTGGGTCTCAGTGACCACTTTCCACACAACCAGGTTATAAACTGAACCAATTCCTCAACCTACACACTTCAACCCTGATGACAGAGGAACCATGTTCCTCTGAAATACCAGCAGCTGCCCACAAACTCACGCAGTGTCACAACTGAGAAAACTACACTCCAAAGTTTATTCATCTATCTAGTAGTAGAAGTCTGAGGTTGAGCATCACTATTCAGCCTTCGGTATGATCCTGACCCAAAAATACTGGGAAAACTATGTAACAATATATGCCAGTGGAAGCTGAACTTCTCATAACTTAAATAATTTAATCAAAGTTTTCACAAAAATAGCTAACCATATTTCATGGATGAGGTCCAACAATTTTTATGTGGGTTATTTAATGATGCTAACAGTAGCTAGACTACACAGTGTCAAATTGTAGGCTGACTGATAGATTGAAGGAACCAATCCAGTTATTTAAGTGCTTCGGGGAGTAGCGCTGTTGATAAAGTCTGAACTTCATAGCAGTTTACCTTCAAATTTGTACCAAGGTCAGTCTCGGAATGGGTGCTTGGTTTCCATAAAGACAGAAGCCCACCCTCACCTCCAGTCAAAAGTAATTCACTCTGAAAGTAAAGACAAATGGCATTTCAAGTTATTATTATTTTCCATACATGAGGTTGGGCATACGTCTATGACCCTGACTCAGCACAGGTGGAACCCATGGATATTAAGAGGGCCTCAGATTGCAGGGTTTTGGCTCTGAAGTTGAGACTCTTAACCTTTCCGGTTCTATGTCGATATATAATCAACATGGTGACAGTGCGTCCATGGACGAATGTTGATATATGATTGACAGAGTGTCTTTCGCATTTCTCTGATCATATGTACCTACTGGCCACTGTATTCTGTGTCAACACATTCATGAATGTTCTGTCTGCCTTCTTCTGCCATCTAGAAGTCATTATTTAAACTTCTTGAGGAACGAATGCTGTTTATATATTATGGTGTCACGTGTTAGTAACATGCTTTTACGTTCAGCCAAATCTCAGCCCTTTGGATTGATGAAACTGAGATAATTCCTTGTGTGATGCAGATGGAGAATCTGATATGTTAAGTGAAGAACTTGATATTGACTTTGATAATTAGATTAATTTGGAAACTGAAGGAGAAACTGCAAGTAAAGAATCGAGCAACAAAACGTTGGAAAATTACAGTGAAACAAGCGTTGTTGCATGTTGATGGGTGGGAAGACTGGACAAGAAACCAAGGCGTTTACTAAAGATGCAGGGCCACAATTTAAGCTTCTGCCATATGCACAGCCCATGTATTGTTTTATTTTATTCTTCAATGATGAGCTTTTGAATAACACTGTTATTGCTGACCTTCAGCTAAGCCTGAGATCTATCTGGAGTAGGTGGTCTGATGTGTCTGTTCCTGAAGTGAATGCATTTTTAGGCCTAATCAAAAATATGGGCATAATCCCATTACCCAAAATAAAAGACTACTGGTCTAGTGAGAGGAAAACACAGATCAAATTTTCTGGTGATGGAATGTCCAGCGATCACTTTTCTCAGATAATCTGGATGATGCATGTGGGGAAATGATACCCCCGAAGAAAGCAACTGGGCCATGAGAAGAACAAAGAAAGTACATGAGGTGACAGAACATATAGAGAAACAGTTTCAGAAAAGTTTTGTGCCAGGTAAAAGAATTGCAATAGGTGAATCAACAGTTGGGTTCAAGTGCAAAATAATTTTCAAAATTCATAATCCAAAAAACAAACCAAGTGGGGCATCAGATTATTTGTATTAGCTGAAAGTAACGCTGGTTATATTCACAGTATAATTCCAAATTACGGAAAAGTTACAGGCAACGGGTGTAATTTGCCATACTCTGAAAACTGTTCATTTCAAGAATAGTTCTTTCTTTGATGGAAAGACAATGACTCAGTGTGTCTGGTATTGAAGACTACCATCTTTTCACTGATTAGATATTATATCAGTGTTGAGCTGGCCCAAGAATTGGACAATAAAAATGTACATTCTTTTTTGTTTTTACTTTATGCCCTTGTTGCACCAACTTTTCAGGCAAAACCGGTCACCCAGTGGCTCGGCAGGCATTTACAAACCTGTGATGTCCTGGCTGTGGAAGTCTGCAAAATGCTATGACCAGAAAGGGCTAAGCAGCCTGAGGAACATTGCGGGTGCTCACTGGGCCCAGCAGAAGGGGAGTGCTTATGGTAACTGGACGTAGTGCCCCATGTTGTTGAGAATCCAGTAATGTAAAAATGTTCCAAGTTGGTAATAGCGATCTATATTCATTTTTGTTTTGTATTATAATAAAAAGTTTCTTCTCATCCAATATGGCTATTAAGTGATATGTAAGCACGACATGAAAATAAACAGGTTATGGGCCCAGTTTTGCTCAAAAACTAAAAAAGGAAAGAAAAAAAAGGAGAAGACGAAAGAAGAATAATGAAAAAATGGCAACCACAGAGACAGAAGAGGTAACTCATCTGCCAAAACTGAAGGACGCCGACTCATTTCCATTGTGGGATTTTGAAATCAAGATTCTGATGTGTGCAAAAGAACTGATAAACATCGTTGATGGCAGCGACCTGTTAAGTGACCAAGGAAGAGATGAAGAGAATATAAGGAAATGGAAGACGCGAGATGCAAAGTGCCAATACTACATAGTGAGAACGATAGAGAAACATGTGAAGACCCACACTGTGACATGCACGACCATGAAAGAAATGTACAACACCTTGAAGCAAATTTATCAGCGAGACACCTCTCAACAGAAGTGCCTTCTGCTACAAGACTTCTACAACTTCAAGTATGACAAAACTAAGGATATGATGACGAATATAAGTTATGTGCAGAACATTGCCTTCAAGCTTCGTCAGCTGAACCAAAATGTTGATGAAAACAGGATCATGACAAAAATAACAACAATTCTACCAGAAGACTACAAACACTTCAGCACCGCCTGGGACTCAACGGTGACCGTGGACAGAACCCTTGACAACCTGGTGGCCAGATTGATGTTGGAAGAAGTGAAGTGCAAGATGACGACTAAAGAAGAGGAAAGCATAGCTTTTAAGATAGTAACTAAAACCAAAAGTAAAACCCCTTTCAAGTGTTTCACTTGTAATCAAATAGGTCATGCCCAGATCAACTGCCCCAACAAAGGTAAGAGAAATTGCTCTATCTGTAAAGGGAATAATCACTCTGAAAAGGACTGTTACTTTAGAAATAAGGACAATGATACGAGAAAATAATGTACAGTATGCAAGAAAGCGAACCATGCTGAAAAGGACTGTTATTTTAAAGATAGGAATAAAAGAAGCAAGGTCAATTTTCTAGCTGAAGCAGCAGAAACCCACGTGAGTGATGCAAGTAAAAAAGACAAAATGTATGTAGTGGATAGTGGTAGCACATGTCATATGACAAATGTGAAGACTGATTTCATACATACTTAGCAGTATAGTCAATGTATAAAGGTACCAAAGAAAGATCAAAGTATGACTGCAAAAGTAATAGGCAATTTGGAATTTAAAGAGTGTAGTTTGAAAAACGTTTCATATGTTCCAGAACTCAGCAAAAACCTGCTGTCAGTGCACTGTATTACAGAAAATGATGGAGAAGTGTTGTTGACAAAAGAGAAAGTCCAGATACTCAAGGACAAAAATGTTGTAATCAAAGGAAAAAAGGATGAAAATGGATTGTTTGTAATTAACTTTAGCGCGAGGACTCAGCAAGATATAAGTGTAGAGTGGCATAGAAAGCTAGGTCACATAAGTTATGCGAATCTTAGGAAACTACAAGAGATATACCAAGGGATACCAGAAAGTGTGAGCAAGTGTAAAAATTTTGATATATGTTCAGTTTGTATGCAGGGCAAACAAGTGAGACTCCCATTTGATACAGAAAGAAGTAGGGCTGGAAAGCCATTAGAGATAATTCATAGTGATGTGTGTGTGGACCAATTGATCCCACCACTTGTGACAATAAGAAATATTTCCTTATGTGTGTGGATGACTATACACATTTTTGTAAGATATACCTGTTAGAAAATAAGAGTGAAGTGTATACCTTTTTGAAGGATATGTAAATGAAGCTGAGTGTCACTTCAATACAACAGTGAGAAATAAGAAATAAGTCTGATTTTGATAAGGCTGAGAAAATTTTAATTACATGTACTAATTTTGTAATCTGAAGACCAAAATTACTAAGTGCTATTCAATTTAACTTTGTAAAATAGCTAATACTGTTGACAACATTTTGAAATTAAGGAGGAATGTTGAGAATCTAGTAATGTAAAAATGTTCAAGTTGCTAATAGTGATCTATATTCGTTTTTGTTTTGTATTATAATAAACACGACACAAAGAAAATCAACACATGTCAGTACCTAATATGTATACTTTTGGAGTTTTTTTTTTATTTTCAACTATTCTCCATCTACTACTTCATTAATGTGCACAGGAAAATGATAAAAACTAAAGAAACAGCAAAAATCATAATTATAATGAAGTATGAACTTGGTGGGGTACTATTATGAGAAAAACGCTGAAACTTAACTCCTTTCCTGTACCATTTAAAACACTGGTATATGGTTCAATCATCCACCCCCCCCCTGTTTTTATGTTATTTTGGCTTTGTGAATTTTGTGTGAATGCAATTCCATATGACTTTATTTACTTTAATTTTTCTTATGAGACTATAATAATCAAGTTATTTGCCTAAATCAGAAAAATATGATTTATACAGCTAAAACGAATTATTTATTTGTCAATGAAAATGAAAGGCAGTGAAACCATACAAGTATGCAACTGCTCCTGGAACACAACTACAGTGCAAACTGGGGGACATTTATACTTAAATGTTAAATGAGATTTTACTGATGTTATATTTTAGCGTCCTGTTGCACTGATTTATGTCCATGATTTATTCTAACCGTCTTACAGTGCCTACATTTATTCACCTTACTCTTCTCTCTTGCACTACATGTTTCAGCACAAAGTGCCATCTTCAGGTTCTTTTCGTTGTACGTCAAACTACTTCATTGCATGAAGGTGAATAAACGTAGGCACTGTAAGATGGTTAGAATAAATCATGGAGATTTTACTGTTTCACTACGTTACGATGAGAGGAGCCAACTTCATTTTAGGACATTACAGGGGACAAAGGGGTATGACACACGTCATGAACATAATCTGTAAAACAGAAAGATGTAACTGAGTTTCAGTTGTTAATTTAAGATATGATGATAACAACACAGACTTAATAGATACTGGTACTAACTCAGAAGCAAACACCTCAACTGAAATTATGCAGAAATCAGGTGCAAAAGAGAACAGATGGAGAGGGAAATTATGTAAAATAAAAAACTGCAGTCATATTACATACAGGAAGGATGGAAGACATGAAAGAGGGACAGCAAACACACAGAATTTATAGAGCAGCAATGGAAACAAATCAAAGTAAAAGCCTGAAATGATATGATTTGATTCATGGAGTGTGATGAGCACAGTGAATGATGAGAATCTGAAGGAAGAAGGAAGAGAAGAGAGGAGGAGGAAGGAGACAGAATCAGTAATAATGCCAATAAGCCTTACATTTCTGTCATACCAACTTGTCCGGACAATCTGCTTATTACCAGCGAGACTTGACAGTGGTTTCAGTTTATTTTTGTTAACTGCAAGTGTCCTGAGGCACTCTCTGAAACAAAAGATTCAGACATCAATATCCACCTGCACTATTATCGTTTCCTACTTGTATCTACTTAAAAAAGACCCCTACTTTTAGGTGTACCTTACAAAGTAAAAAAGAATGTCTTATGTGCAGGTTTGTCCCTCCATCTGCCTGTCTGTGAAAGTCAGCGAAGTCAGAAAACCTCTTCCCTTGAGGTACCATTAAAACAGATCTTGGAGAAATATAGTGAAACCATTACAAAGTATGACTTATAACAAGGACTTCATTATAGTGACAACCAATGGAACTGTCAATTTCTTAACTTTACGTATATGTAAAATCATCTCATAAAGTGAAGGCTTCCTTTTGACAAGTTTATCATAACAAGTGACTCACAACTACACACCACTACTTTCCCATAACTCTTTGCACCAACTGTTCTTGCAGTTTTGCTTCTGGAGTTATTTATGACTGTCCCATTAACTCACCCTTTCTGTCTACTCTTATCTGGAAGAAAGTTCACATATCTAAGTCTCACTGTAAGCTCTGACTTTCAGCCAAAAAATGTGCAATAAAATTCCTCTTCTGTATCTTCCCCTCCTTGTGACACAGGTTCTCCCTTCCCTGAGCTTCTACTGACTCGGGTAGGATGACATCATAGAATACTATGCAGGTTCTGCCACATAAATCATCTACCTACACTGTGGCCCATGTTAACTGTAAAATCATCTTAAACCCTGAAAATAGAGGAGCTTAGACATGGATGTGAAGCTTGAAATATGTCTGTGTGAAGTTGGTAGTTTGTCGAAAGCAAGCAGAAAGGAGGTATCGAACATTTTATTTTACATCCTCAAAGAACAAAGGGAAAATACGGTGTATTCTGAACCCAAACAAACCAACATTGATCCTTTTCTCCATGAGTGAAATTTGTTTTATGACCTCGGTTTGTGACCAAGTGATGAACATATTGAGACAAGACCTGTGCTACAAGTGTAACATCATACGTATGGGAATTGCAGATGGTACAGATCCTATTAATATAAAAAGGATATTTTAATTATGAGCGTGGTAACTCAGACCTGTCATCTGACTGGGTTAGAAAATTAAGCATTTATGAGTTCACATACAATTTATATGTCACTATCATAAAACGTGTTTTAAAGGTACATAAATGGCTGATTCACAACAATCTCTTAGGTACACACAGACAAAAAACTGTGCATATTCCAGCTCTGACATTTATAAAATAATGTAACATAGGGTACATATGTAAATAGTGGTGTCATTCATACTGCTTCAGGTGTTAATAAGAGGTGTTACTGAAGTTCAATACCATGATGGGATCTTGTGAATATGGTAATGAAACTATAAAGTAGAAGTAAGTAAAGGTATCCCTGTAACAGGCCGTGGAGGCCCAGAGGGCTGTGAGACGTTGAGGTTCCCACATTTTCTAGACAATCAGCTCATAGATTGTGGCAAGGTTGTCAGCCCTACGTGCTGGCCGCCCTTTACCCCAAGCATATTCCTGGTTCTCATTTCTGTTAGAGGCTGAGTCAACCCCAGGGCCATAGTGCGACTGGAAGGATTAGGTCAATTGAAAAAATCCAATGACCTCCCCAGGACTTGAACCTGCGACCTTCTGGCTTGTAGCATGGTGCCTCAACCAACTACGCCACTGCGTGCCCCAATGAACCTATAGATTCTACAAATTGCTTGGTCAGTTGAATAACTACCAGCTCCTCAAGAAGGCAATGTATCATGAAGCGCATAACATATGAATTGCTGTACGTGATGTTATAAACTAATTTCTGCACAATACTTTTTTCTCTCTCATGACTGCATTTACCCTCCATTCCTCTGTTCCCTTCAAAGGACTTCCTTAGTGACTTGAGGCAAGGCCAGTGATTGCACCAATGTTGGAAGTATTTGCAGAAATCCTGTGTTCTGAATGCACCAGTGCAGCCTGCAACTGTTCTTGAATTGTAATGATGTCACTAAATCCTCCCCTCTAATAAAAAAGGGACAAGTTACACAAGGATCTGTGAGCCTTATACACAGGAACACAATTCTGCTTTTGTTCATTAGTCAGCATATGATCCATAATCCAAACGAGATTCCCATCTGATCAGTACTGTGATCTAACATAACTCCACTTCCGAACTTGGAGAACTAATCAAATGCTTGAGTTCTCTAATCACTTCATCTCCGGGAGCAAGTTTTAACGTCTCATAGGATCCTGCAAAAATTCTGCCCAGCTTACAGCAGAATCTGTTGCACACATGCTTTCTTTGATATCTGCCTCTTTCTGATAAAACACGAATACCTTTCTTCATGGTGTTACTTCTGAGTGACAAAAGCTACAACTTTGAAAGGAACGGCAATGACTCAGCAGATTCTACTCTACTTCCACTTAGGAGGGTAGTACTGTGGCCACTCCAGAAGCTAACTGATCACACCATGTACCACTACTTTCAGTTACACCTAAAAGATAAACAGACAGTACATAACATACCCTCGTCCAGCGGTTGTTAGCAACAACACCTCTCCCAGTGTATTAGTCTGATGTGCATCAACTATAAAACAACTTTCAACCAACTTCCGCTGAAAAAAAGAATGGCTTTATTACCAATACTTAACTAATAGACTTCTTATACAGGGGATGGACAAAAATATGTAAACACCACGTGAAATGCATGCCTGAACTGAAGTGTTTATTTTAGCAACGTTTGTTGGTGACGCTGTCTTACCTGCCCAATATCACTACCTGTACAACCTCTGCAATACGTTGCAAGCGTCATTTGTTGTCAAGACAGTGTTCTGTGCAGTATTTAGTGCCATCATGTCAGAGCTAACAGAATTCGAACGCGGGCAAATTGTTGGGGCCCTTATGGTTGGTGCTTCCGTAACCAAGGTAGCCGAGGTTTTCGGTGCTTTGCGAGGCACAGTAGCCAAGATTATGACCGCACACAGGAGGACTGAAAAAACCGCATCCGATAAACACCAGCGTGGACGGAAATGTGTGTTGAGTGATTGAGACAGACGAACACTGAGTAGGATTGTGACGAAAAATAAGAAGACTACAGCTGCAAAAGTGACTGCTGAACTGAATGTCACGCTCACAAACCCTGTCAGAACCAAAACAGTATGAAGGGAACTCCAGAAACAGGGTATTTCTGGACAAGCTGCAATTCCAAAGCCACTCATCAGTGATCAAAATGCCACTAAGAGGAGAGTGTGGTGCCAGAGTCATAAAACCTGGACTATGGAGCAATGGAAGACGGTCACTTGGTCAGATGAGTCCACCTTCACACTGTTTCTGATTTCTGGCCAAGTTTACATCTGGAGAACGCCATTCCAAGCTTACGATCCAGATTGTTTGCTGCCAAGAGTGAAACATGGCGGGGGTTCGATCATGGTATGGGCAGCCATACTGTGGTATTCTGTCAGACTAATCATTACCCTGCAAGATCACGTCACTGCCAACGACTATGTGACCATTTTGGGAGACCAGGCCCATCCCATGGTGCAAACTTTGTTCCCCAATGGTGATGCTGTTTACCAAGACGACAATGCCCATGTTCACACAGCTCACATCATCCAGGACTGGTTTTCTGAGCATGAAGATGAAGTGTCACGTTTGCCATGGCCCCCATAATCGCCAGATATCAATATCATTGAGCCTTTGTGGTTTTTGGAGAGCAATCTGCATGCGTGCTATCCACCTCCATCATCAATAACAGAAGTTACCATGTTTTGCAGGACAAATGGTATAAGATTCCCTAGCAAATCATACAGGACCTCTTATTTATCAATTCCAAGGAGACTGCAGGCAGTTCTGCAAGCCAGAGGTTGTCCTACACCATATTAGTCGTGGTAATGTGTTTTCTGTTGGGTGTTTCCATATTTTTGTCCATCTCCTGCAGTTAACTAGACTAAAGATTTATTTATCCTCAGTTTATTTTAATGTTATTTGACTAAACAGTTTATATACGTTGCATGGCTGCACCACCTGTACATTCTTATCTAATAATTATTACATGCAACAAAAATATGCCTTCAAGCGTCAACCAGACTCAATCATCGCAGAACTAGAAGAAAAGTTTCACAGGTTCAACTGGTCCACTAGTAGGGTAGAGCTAATTAAATTGTCAGCAATACCATTTCAAGTCAGGAGAACATACCCCAAATGGGAGTCAAATGTTTTCTTTTTATTTCAGCTGCAAATTATGCAGCTACTCAAAAACCTTCCAGCATTTTATGGGGCCCGAAAGTTCATTACCGTGTTCACAAGAGCCCTCCAGCGGTCCCTATCCTGAGCCAGATCAATCCAATCAATACCAACCCATCCTATCTCTCTGAGATTCATTTTAATATTGTCCACCTGCCTACGCCTTCGTCTTCCCAGTGGTCTCCTTCCTTCCAGCTTACCTATCAATATCCTATATGCATTTTTCCTTGCCCCCAATTATAATACATGCCCTGCCCATCTCATCCTCCTTCACTTGATCTTTCTAATTATACTTGGAGAAGAGTACAAGTTATGAAGCTCATCATTATGCAGTTTTCTCCAACCTCCAGTCACTTCATCCCTCTTCAGTCCAAATATTCTCCTCAACACCCTGTTCTCAAACACCCACAGTCTATGGTCCTCCCTTAATGTCAGAGACAAAGTTTCACACCCATACAGAACCATGAGCAAAATTATAGTTTTTGTATACTCTAATTTATATGTTTTTAGACAGCAGACAAGAAGACAAAAGGCTCTGGACTGAATGGTAGCAAGCATTACCCAACTTCCCAAGCAATATCAATCCAATCCATACCATCCCATCTTATCTCCCTAAGATCCATTTTAATATTGTCCACCCACCTACGTCTTGGTCTTCCCAGTGGTCTCTTTCCTTCTGGCTTTCCCACCAGTATCCTATATGCCTTCCTCACCTCCCCCATTTGTGCTACATACCCTGCCCACCTCATCCTCCTTGACTAATTATACGTAGCACGTCCACAAAGTAAGTTTCCCACTCATCCCACAGCTAGCAAACCTTATATTGCGCAAAGCGACTGCGCGTACGTGACGTGGCATGACGCATGCACAAACGAAATTTCCCTCGTTCCCACAGTAGCATCGTTGCAGCTGTTGAAGATGGAGGCTCTTATTCCAACTCCCGCCGACTGTGAAGTGTGGTCAGTGATAAAGTTTTTCAATGCACAGAGCATAGTGCCGATCAAAATTCATCGTCAGCTGTGCCGGGTCTATGAGCCTAACGTCATGAGCAAGCAGATGGTGCGTCGCTGGTGCAGACAATTTTCAGCAGGTCGACAAAGTGTGCATGATGAGAAGTGCAGTGGGCAGCCATCCATAATTACAGACGACCTGGTGGAGCTTGTGCGGGAACGCATTATGGAGAATCGTCGTGTCACAATTGCGGAACTCAGCAGTCATGTCCCACACATTTCCTGCTCCTTGTTGCACGAAATTGTCACGGAGCATCTGTTGTTCAGGAAATTGTGCGCCAGGTGGGTGCCGAAGCAATTGACACCAGAACATAAAACAAAGCGCATGGAGTCAGCATTGACCTTTCTGCAGCGGTACCATGATGACGGCGACAAGTTTCTGGACCGGATCATCACAGGTGATGAAACGTGGATTGCACACATTACCCCAGAAACCAAGCAGCAGTCAATGCATTGGCGTCACAGTGGATCTCCCTGTAAGACGAAATTCAAGCATACGTTGTCAGTGCGGAAAGTGATGTGCACGGTATTCCGGGACAGACGGGGCGTTCTCCACATCGACTTCCTGACCAGAGGTGAGACGGTGAATGCTGAGCGTTACTGTGAAACACTGCAGAAATTGTGATGGGCCATTCAGAACAAGTGGCACGGGATGCTCAGTGCCGGTATTGTCTTCCTGCATGATAATGCTAGGCTGCACACGGTTCGACGGACAGCAAGTCTCCTGCAGGAGTTCAGCTGGGAGGTGTTTAATCATCCACCCTACAGCCCAGACCTCGCTCCCAGTGATTTCCATCTTTCCCTACACCTCAAGAAATTCCTGTCCGGTGAGCATCAGCATTTTGAGAATGACAGAGAGGCAGAGATGGTTGTCACACAGTGGTTCCAATCCCAGGCGGCAGACTTCTATGACACAGGTATTTGAAAGTTGGTCCCATGATATGACAAATGTCTCAATTCCGGTGGCGATTATGTTGAAAAACAGCTGAACACTTGCTGTATCTGTTGCAATAAATATTTCCATGGAATTGTGTTGTTTCTGTAAACGGCCCCAGGGAAACTTACTTTGTGGACGAGCCTCATACTTGGAGAAGAGTAGAAGTTCTGATGCTCCTCATTATGCAGTTTTCTCCAACCTCTGGTCACTTCATCCCTCTTCGGTCCAAATATTCTCCTCAATGCCCTATTCTCAAACACAAACAGTCTGCGTTCCTCCCTTAATGTCAGAGACAAAGTTTCACACCCATACAGAACCACCAGCAAAATTATAGTTTTGTATATTCCAATTTTTATGTTTTTGGACAGCAGATGAGAATAATCTACTAAATGGATAAACTAAGCAACAACTTACTTGCATTGAATGACATATCTTCTCTCTGGAAAACTGAACAAATGGGTATGCCCCATCACTTGTCCACAGCTGCAAATCTTCAGTGTGTGTTATACAAGACAACATGTCACTACCACTTTCCCTAGGAAACCAACCAATCTTAGCCTAGAGATACAAGAATGAAGAGAAAAGGTTTTATCCAGACATCATCTTCAAAACTTAACTCATTCTTCTAATTATAATCCCATAAGTAACTACCTCCATGAAGTACAGACCTTCTTGAAAAGATAACGGTTTAGCAAGTCAATGGATTTTCTGGGTTTTAAGAAACCAGAAGGTTCATTTTCATGTTCGCAAGACCCCTTCTCTAATTTAAATGAAAAGCTTGTAGACTCCACAAAAAATAGTCTTGCAAAATTTCAGCACCCTACATCTTGTAGTTTTCATGCAACAAGGGTGAAAGAATAAAAAAAAACAACGCATTTTTAGGTATGCCACATTCGTTAAAAATCATGAACTTTTGTTCTGTACAAGCTACACAGCTCTTATGAGGCTTGTTTGAAAGCGAATGAAATGCTCTTCTCATTGATGTGTAACATTCAGACAGAATAGTTTTGGTTTCACTGTCACCTAATGTTACCTCTGGCTTTCAAGTTTTCACAGAATGCATTTATCTTCTTTTGCAAATAAAAGTATGTGGTTTGACATCTCAGAAACCTACGGGCCTATACAGTCTGTTGCAGGGATAGCTTTACCTTTATTTATGACACCTCAACCAGCATATTATCTGCCCTAGGATTCAAAAAGTAGGCAGCTGAATATTACTCAGTACACACACTGAACATTTTACACATGTTGAAATTACTTTAACTGAAAACCGCCAATCCAAAAAATGAACATTTATACTTTCATTTATATTTATGGGTACTATAAGCATGTCAAATTTCATCAAGTCTATCACTGCATTTTAAATGGGTAATTTCACAACTGAATGGCACTCGTATGTCACCATCATGATAATGGCCCAAGGAAATCAACAGTAAACTGAAACTATTAGTACAGCAATCCTGTTTGTTATATACTGTCTAATTCCAGAGAAATCCATTCCATATTACAAGAAAAACAAATGCAGCTCAGATGGAATTACTTGGAAGTAATCAAGTTTAAGAGACTTGTTATAAATAATGTGCCATGTAATTCAGACACATTTTGGCTATAACAGTGTTACTATTCGATAACTTACGGACACTGCATCACTAATTAGGGAAATATCCTGAAAAGGCACATCTGTAATTGATTCTATATAATGCATTACTAAGACGATTTCATGCTTATGAGTTATGATGTTGATGATATCAGTGAAGAAGTTCTTAATGGTCTTGACAGAAATATTAAAGAGGCACAGAACCTATTGCATACAGATCTTCTGCAAAGATATATTTCACACTTGGGTTTACTTCCTACAACCAAGGTGACTAATAGCATTAGGCATACATATAAACCTCAAACAATCATGTATTTTGTAAGTTTTGAGGTTTTCACGGCGATGACAATGAAGAAAGTCGTCTTCTGGGTTTAGGCACCGTGTATTCTTCGTTTTGGCCACACCAGTTCTTCGTCATGTCATTGACGTCAATAGCCTGTCCCCAACCTACCGGTTCTTCTTGTCTACCGCACTTCCTAGTGCTATTGACCTCAAGTTTCCTGGATTAACTGGCCGTCCCGCCCCCCTCCCTTAGTCAACACAACACCATATATGGTCTTAATCGCTCCCCACTGCTCCCATTGGTCCGTTCTCCTGAACCACACCCCCTGCCTACTTCGTATATAAGCAGCGCCTTTCACATCCTATCACTACAGCTACTGCTCTCCGCATTCCAAGCCATTCAACTGCTATGAAGATGGAGGCGCTACGTTCCTCCGAAACGTCGGCCAAAATGAAGAATACACGGTGCCTAAACCCAGAAGACGACTTTCTTCATAATCATGTATTTTCATTCATATGTGTTGCATTTTGTTGTGTATGTCTGTACCATGTAAATTTGTCCATCAGTCACATCAATTTTACACTTCAGTGAATAACTGATAGGCTCAAATGTTGATAAAATCAGTTAGTCTATTAAAATGTCCCTGATGTACATGTTTCTGTCATTAATGACCATCTTCAGGCATTTATAAACAGTGAAATGCATTTAACGTTCATTACTGGACTGTGTCGCAGTGGATCCATTGCTGTTAGTCTTAGTTTTTAGGCAGAATTACATTATTAAATATACTGAGATATTTACTTAAACTAAGAAAGTTTATTTTTAAATTGACTGTTATTCTCTAGAAGTTATCCTTATATGCAAACAATGTGTTTACAAAACTGGTTTCCTGGAAATGGATTTCATGTGAAGTTAATTTGTAGCAAATTAGAGTCGTGAATATTTATTTAGTGTGTATATATTGTTAACACATATAATTACTTGTTGTGGTGCAGTTTCGTTGTTTCTATCAATGTGGTGTTTCCTGCTGTGTTGTTGGGAATGGACTGAGGTTCTCGTTTAGGTAATGTCAGTAGTATTATAGTATGGGAGGGTGGGGGAAGGAGGAAACCAGGAAACAGCACCATAAACACAACTGTAATATGCTAAGAGCATACCTATACAGAACAACAAATAAGAACACAGCCAACGAGTCCACCATAGAACATCTAAAGTGTAAGTACACAAAAATGTATAAAAAACATAACACAACTACATAGGACAAAGTTGCATAAACATATTTTTACGTGTTTACGTTACTGAATACGCCGTAGAGATCGTTAACTGGTTTATTGAACAATCTACAACTATCGGCTACAATTAATGATCACAATATTACGGGTATAACTGTACTACAGCAATCACTANGAGTCCACCATAGAACATCTAAAGTGTAAGTACACAAAAATGTATAAAAAACATAACACAACTACATAGGACAAAGTTGCATAAACATATCATATGCAGTATATCTGCACCCATTCTCTCTACCCCATCCAACCCATAAAAACCGCTGTATATAATAGAATGAGTTTTAGAGAACAACAGTAATTTTTTAATAAACTCTATTAATTTAAATAAATATTTCAATATATTCACAATTTAGGGGTGACTACTGATCAGGTTTTGGATTGGAGCTTGGATTTACTGACCAGGTGAATGCATGATTTGTAATTGCACTTTACAGCTCACTGGCACACACGGACTAGTGCCTTCAATCTATTACAGTCTCCACTAGCCATTTCTGGTAATAGATTTGAACACAGGAACTACAATAGTCTCACTGAATTACACATGTCACATATCACATATAAAGTCTTCTTTTCAGAGCCACACTTTTGTAACTAACTCTTTTCTTCACATTCTCCCATACAGAACTCTTCTCAAGCGGTTGCTTCAAACTGTCCTGCTACGAGCATGACATCTTGACACGGACCACACAGAAAACACCCCGTCTCCACAGTAAGTCTGTCGTTATGTGCATATTCATTTCCACAGGAACGTATTTACTGAGCCCTTGCTCGGAAATGGTCACTGTATATTTGCCTATTGCATAGCAATGGCTGTACATGCTATATTTAAATACTGTAATTCTACCTAAAAACTTGTACATGACAAGAAAAACAGCTATGGATCCACTGCGACACACAGACCAGTAAAAAATGATAAATGCATTTTACTGTTTATAAACACCCAATTTTAATGGTCATTAACAACCAAAATATGTAGAACATAAACATCTCAATGAAACTAACTAATTTTATCGACATTCAAGCCTGTGAGTTATTCATTGAGTGCAGAATTGTTGTGATAAATGAACTAATTCACATAGTAAAATCATGTTATTTACTTGGGAAATATGTTTGAAATTATCAAGCGGCATATATGGACAGATTTCACTCAAAGATGTCTTATGTTATTCATGAAGTTATGAATCCAAGCAGTTATAGAAGTATATTGCCATAGTTTTACCTACACAGACTTATCTACTGTCCATGTAGGCGATCCTGCTGGTTTTAGAGTAAAGTTCCTAATATGATTTTACTGAACTGGCCTATACAGACATTTTCTATGTGCATGTTTCTGAAGAAACCTTCCAAATCTTTATAAACAAAGTCCTATTCTATGATAAATACTAATTACACTTCACACATCCACATCAAAACATTATCAACAAACACAACATTTCTCTCATCTGTGACCTACTATATACGAGGGGGTACCCAAAAGAAACCGAACTTATTTTTTTTTAAACTTATTTGTTCAAATTTTAAGCACAAACCTTCAATCCCCTTCAAAGTACTCTCCACTTACACTAATACACTTGTCTAGTCTTTTATTCCATTTTTCAAAACATTGCCTAAATTCATCTTTTGAGATGCTTGACAGCGCCTCCGTCGTTTTTTCCTTCACCTCAGCAACATCAGCAAAACGCTTTCCTTTCATGTCTCTTTTCATTCGAGGAAACAAAAAAAAGTCGCACGGGGCAAGGTCGGGTGAGTATGGAGGGTGAGGAACAGGGGTCATACCATTTTTGGTCAAGAACTGTCGTACAGACAGGGCTGTGTGAGCAGGGGCATTGTCATGATGGAAAAACCAGTCACCCGACTGCCACAAATCTGGCCGCTTCCGCCGCAAACTGTTGCGCAATCTTTTCAAAACTTCCAACTAGAAAGCCTGGTTAACTGTCTCACCCTGCGGAACAAACTCTGAATGGACGACTCCTCTCACATCAAAAAAACAAATCAGCACTGTTTTCATAAATGATATAATGATAAAAACTCCGTCTCAAGTGCAAACAATATATTTTGTGTCTTTGATCTTGTTCCCCTACACTACATGTTTCGGCCTCAGACGGCCATCATCAGGTGTATAACACTCACGTCGCTGTCACACTGCACCTAGCTCAAAATTTAAC